CGGGGGGCTGCGCGGGGCGGCGGCGGTCGGGGTCCTGTCCTGGTCGGGGTGGAGAAGTCGGGGTGTCTTCGTAGTTGGGGTCCTCTCCTGGTTGGGATGGAGAAGTGGGGGTGTCTTCGTGGTTGGGGTCCTGTACTAGGTGGGATGGAGAAGTTGGGGTGTCTTCACGGTCAGTGTCCTGTCCTGGTCAGGATAGAGAAGTCGGGGTGGCTTTGTAGTTGGGGTCCTGTTGCGGTTGGGGTGGATAAGTCAGGGTGTCTTTTTGTTTGGGGTCCTGTCCCGGTCGGGGTGGAGAATTTGGGGTCTCTTCGCAGTTGGGGTTCTGTCATTGTTGGGATGGAGAAGTCAGGGCATCTTCGTAGTCGGGGTCCTGCCCTGGTCAGGGTGTCTTTGCGGTCAGGGTCCTGTTGCAGTCAGGATGGAGAAGTTGGGGTGTCTTTGCGGTCAGGGTCCTGTCTCGGTCAGGATGGAGAAGTCGGGGCGTCTTCACGGTTGGGATCCTGTCCCAATCGGGATGGAGAAGTCGGGGCGTCTTCACGGTTGGGGTCCTGTCCTGGTTGGGATGGAGAAGTTGGGGCGTCTTCACGGTTGGGGTCCTGACCCAGTCGGGATGGAGAAGTCGGGGCGTCTTCACGGTTGGGGTCCTGTCCTGGTGGGGATGGAGAAGTCGGGGCATCTCCGCGGTTGGGGTACTGTCACAGTTGTGATGGAGAAGTCAAGGTGTCTTTGTAGTCGGGGTCCTGTCCCAGTTGGGATGGAGACATCGGAGCCTCTCGGCGAGGCTGAGGGTGAGAGTTTAACCTGGAGAGACCCGCGGGCTGTTGGTACGGGAAATAACGCTGCCGGAGCAGCACTGCAGGAAATGTGGGGCCCGCTGGAAAAAGTGCGGATCCTGCACATTTTTCTGCTTTTTCTACAGAATCCAGCTTTAGAAGGTTGTGGGGTATTGGGTTGTTTGTTTTTTGTGGGGTTTTTTTTTTGTAGAAGTTTGCGTTTCTTATGTCAGTGTGGAACGTTTAGGATGTGATACATTTTTCCAGGGCAGATAGCCACCAGTCAGACCAGTGATAGCGACAGAGCGCGAGTGGTGGTAGTTTGGTCTCGTGGGTGTGGGGGGGGCTGCTGCCGAGCCCCAGCTTTGAAGAGAGCTGAGTTTGGCTGGGCAGAAGCCAGCATGGCCAAGGCTTTCGTGAGGATTCTGTTTGCACAGCGTGAGGAATGCGTTATTCCGTCTTAAAAGACGGGATGATTTTTCAGGCTTAGGTCCCTTGGCGTTACGGAGCGTGGGTGGGACTGCTCCATTCCTCCGCGTCCTCCAGTTTCCTTCCATAGCGTGTGGAAATACACTGGAATACCTGTCTCCCAAGACAAACAGCTTTCGTCTGAGAACTTGAGAGTCATAAAGAAACAACCTTTTTTTTTTTCCTTCCTGCTATGTGTGGGTTAGATTTGCTGTCTGAGTAGTTTAGTGGACTGTTGAAATGTCCCTTTTGCTTGCTGCTTCTTTATTTTTTCTTTTTTGCTAGCTGTTTGGATTTGAATGTAGCTTTTCCTCTGTGCTCTGGGTTCTGCAATTTACCCTGTCTGATCTCAAAAGTCCACAGCAGAGGGGGCTTCTGCTACACCACCTGAGAAGTGGTTCAGCTGTTGCACAGACCTCTCTGTCTGACGTGCTTCCCCTGCTCCGTGGCAAACCCATCGCCGAGAACCTCCCCCGATCTCTGGGACGAATTGCTCTCATTACGTCCCCACCTTCCTGTAATGGATTTAATTCCTTCCTTTGGGTCATTCTCTTCCTCGACTCCCTCCCCTTCCTGAGTGTTCGGAGCCTTTGGAGACCTCCTCATCCCGTTAGCGATGTCACTGTTTAGGTCAATGATGCACATTAGCTAATCTGGACCTTTCTTAGCCATTTGATGTCTTCCATGCAGTTCTGCCTTTCCTCTGATTAAGCAGACGTGCCAACAGAGCAGCCTGACTGGACAGAGCAGGCACTGCACGCTTGGAACACTGTGTAGTTCGCACTTGTGTGCTCTCTCGCACCTCAGGCTGTAGATGCCTGCCCGGTCTGGGAGTTCCCGTTGCTCGTGGCTCGCTCAGGCAGGCGTATCCCTCCGTGTTCGTGCATACGGCTTTTTATCAACCGGTCCCAGCGTGCTGAATAGCTCGAGGTGAATTATCTTTGCTTGGAGCACTATCTGTCCTTTTTCCTCTGGCCAAAATTCATTTTATTTTCTTGTCCTTTCCCCAAGGCACCCTTTTATGTTATTTTCTATGCTTCCAAATTTGATAGTATCACCAGGATAAGCCTCCCTTTCTAGATCTTCCCAGTGAACGTTCAGCAAAACCAGGTGAAGTCAACGGGACACCAGTTTGTTCCTGTCCTTTCCGGCCTTCTTAGCGCTGCTGTGTGACCATCCTTCTGGTGCTTTTGCTTGGTCTTGCTCAACAGACAGGTCAGCAAAATCTGCGATACCGACTAGATGTCCCCCACCCCCAGCTCTGTAGTCAGAATGCTGTCTGGTTGGCGTGACCTGGCATCAGGGAGGATCTGGTGCCCTTCATCTTCCAAGGTTTCGGGGAGTTTTCCATGTGTGCTTTTCCACATGCTTTCCTGTGGTACCTGAGCTGAATTAGCTGGTAGCTGCTGCTTCCTTCCCTCTGTGAAAGGTGACTGTGGACAACTGCTGCTCACGAACAGCTTTGGGGGGCAGAAAGGGAGCAATCTGAGTAGAAAATGTGGCACCACGCTGTTGCTGGGTGGCATAGCCTAGGAGAAAAAGGCTTGTCGGTAGTTGGGTCTCATGGTTTCTCCGCAGTCTGTCGTGCGGTATGGGGCTGGAGTCGGAGTGAGGGGGAAGAACGTGGCCTGGCTGGAATGCAGGACGTAGGGCAAAATCCGGAGAGGGAAATGCAGAGGCTGGGAAAAGGGAGGAACAGAAGGTGAACCTGACAGAAAGAAGGTGGTGGCTTCTCTGCAGGAGAAGGCAGCGGGCAAGATGCAGCAGCCAGGAGGGGTGCGCGGGAGGAGGGCTGGGTGCTGTGCATGGACGAGGACAGCACCACAGCTCCATGAAGGCTTGTGACCCAGAGATAACTGGCAGCAGGTTAATCGGTAGCGCGGTGTGTGTCTCCTGCTGGGTGGCTGCACATGATAGAAGGCTTCCGTGCGTGCAAGGCTTGATCGTGCTCCTGATGGCTTCGAATGGCAAGTGACTATGTGAGGACAGTTCAATGCGCGATGTACAAGCCTGCGCTTTCCTCTTGTAAGATGCCAGGAGCTGCAAAGCCCGCTAAATTCATCAGCCTCTTCCAGGGTCTGCGTTAGGCTGTTGACGAAGTCCTGCTGAGCGCTGGGGAACAGCATCCTGGGTGACTTTTCTGGTTTCCTCTTTCTAGTACCTCTGCACTTGCCAGCCATTGAAACTAAAAAATAAATAGGGCTTCGTCTCAGCTTGGTGGGAATACGCTGTTTTAGACAGCTCTGTGAAGGGCTTTGGTGGGAAACCAGTAGGTTAAAAACAGAGCCCTGCCCTCTGAAGCAGGGGGGGAGGGGAGGGCTGGGTTTGCCGGGGAGGGGATTAGCCTGTGTATTGCTAGGGACTGAAAGAGCTGTACTGTCTTTTTCTTGCTACTCCCCTTCAGCTGGGGAAGCAGTGTCTCTGAACTAAGGTCTGCTGGGTGTATCTGGAGTCCGAAACAAGGCAGCCTGTTTCTCTCTGAAAGTGGGCGAGTACAGGATTCCTGGAGCACAGGTCTTTAGTCCTCTTGCTTTATCCTGCGTTAATAGTAACTGGGACGTGCTGGTTGAGAAGGGTGAAATCAGGAATTACTAACAGCTTTGCTTTGCCTACTAAGTTCTGTGTGTCCCGAATTAGCTGTAAGGGGGTGTGCACTGTTAAGAAACCAGCGCCCTTCTCAAAAGGAGCGCAGGCTGGGCATCTCAAACTAGCCTTGGTGAGATCCTTAAAGATCCCACGATAGGAGCAGAGATTTCCCTCAAAGTCTTGATTTTAGACTGTCATCTCCTCTTCTGGTGCTGGTCTGGAAGCAATCTGTGCCAAAAGGGTAAAGGACTTCAATAGGGAAGCAGTGCCTGCATGCAGGGTGAGGGAATTGGTGCATAAAGCAGGTCCTCCAAGCCAGTCCTGCCCTCTTCATGCACTGTCACCTTCCCTGCCACACGTCGGTGCCTGTGAGAGGCCAGAGGTGGATGTGTTGTGTTAGAGGAAGGCTGTGAATTGCCCCCACATAAAGTTTCCCTGTGCTGGTACCCCGCAGCCGGGCCAGTTTTGAGGAAGCCGGTCAGAAGCAGCCAGCTGTGGGGCACTGGAGGACACTGATGCCGTCCAAAGGCAGCAAGGAGGAGCCGGCGACTGGATGCCAGGATGCTGGAGGTGTGGATGAGACCCAGGCCACCGAGCAGCTCAACGTGTCACGTCTACGCAGCTCTTCAGTGGAGATCCGTGAGAAGGGGTCTGAATTCCTGAAGGAAGAGCTGCACAAAGCACAGAAGGTAAGGCCTGGAGTTTGTGAGAACACCTGAGGATGTGGCGACACGGATTTAAGTGGTGGGTTTTCTTTCTAGAGGTGGTGCTGAGGGGATGCTGGGGGCACCAGAGGCTGAACGTGGCTGCGCTGCAGTCTGGAGCAGGCAGAAGAGGAGAGAGGTTGGTCTGAGGTGGCCATAAAGTCCTTCGGAGTAGGACATCAGTTGCTAGGTTGACCCGAAGCCTCCGTGCCAGCATCCGAATTCATCCTGGAAACCTGCTGGAGAAAGCAGCTTGGGGCAGGCAGCGCTTACTACGGAGCCTCCTTGCTAATGGCAAGTGAGCAGTTCCAGCCTGAAAAGCCTGCTGCAACTTGTGGAGGGGGTGCCTTTGGTGACACGGAGCGTGGTACCGAGTTCAGCGGCAGGAGTCTTGGGCCGGGGATCCGCGCCACGGTGGGGAGGAGAGTTTGTGATGGGCAGGCATCAACACTGCTGGGGCCTGCCACGAGCTCATGCGTCCCTCTCCGTTGCCTCCACAGGAGCTGAAGCTGAAGGACAAAGAATGTGAGAGACTGTCAAAAGTCAGAGAACAACTGGAGCAGGAACTAGAGGAGTTAACAGCTAGCCTGTTTGAGGTACCAGCCTCTTCCTTTTCCCATCATTTCTTAAGCTAACCTTGCATCCAGGTCCTTTAAGACAAGCTTCCCCTGAACTTCCAGACATCTCCTCCCACAGTTTCCTCCTTCCCCCTGTTGCTGTTTCCCACTTGGAGAAGCAGAGTTGGGCAGTGCTGCGGGCAGAGCCTCAGAGCAGGGGCTTGTACCTGCTCCTGGTGGGCATTTTGCGTGCATTTCTGTCCCCTTCTAGCAGCTGTGGGGTGACATAAAGAGCACAGTAGTTATGGCTCTGTACATCTGGTAGCAGAAGCGGATGTGGGGATGCCTGTAGCTGCAGCTGAGCGTAGCTCCCTGTCCCTCTCCCGTGCCTGCTCTGTAGTCTGGACAGCAGCTGCTGTGTAATAGAGATGGTTCCCTGGCTCGTGTCAGCCCTTGCTTGGAGTGGGAACAAGCTGGATGTCCTCATATACTCTGCTCCAGTGAGTGTTCAGAAGGCCTGTTGGTCGGGTTTTTTTTTGTAATGTGATTCTTGCCAAGCTCTATCCTGGCAAAATCCCATTTACCAGCAGCTCTGATGTCTGGATCTGACCAGGCGGTGAGGAAAGCCAGAGCCTGTCTGTCCCTTTGGGACGCAGGCTGGTGCCGAGCGCGAGGGCCAAGAGAGCATCCCCCGCCTGGAGATTCGGCTGCTGGGGTTCAGGGCAAACTTGGAGGTGGTGTAGCTGAGGGCTGTCCCCTTCCTTTGATGGCCTTGGACAGATTGCTGCCAGGGAGGCCCCAGATGGGACTCGCACCACTCCCCTCTTCTTCTGGGAGATGCTTTGAAGTTATCCTCTGCCTTTTGGCCCCCACCTGAGCTACGGCTCCCGCTGCATTGCGGCCATGCCCAGAGCAGTGATGGCCGCTTCGTGAGGGAGGTGGGAGCAAAGTGCAATAACAAGTCAGGCGAGAGCAGTGACCTTATCAGCGGGCAGCCGAGACGCGGAGCAGCAATCTGGATCGATCAGCAAGTCTGCAGGGACAGCACAAGGCCTGAGATCAAGCTGGGAAGCCAAGTCAGTGGGTCCAAGTCAAGGTTGGAGTCAGAGGGGTGTTGGACTGGACGCAGACACAGCTGTGGTGTAATACGAGTGGGTGCTCGTGTTAAAGCCTCGGCTTTAAAGCAATTCCCAAGGGCGAGGAGGGGCAGGCCCTTGCTTCTAGCTGTGTTCACAGCAGCCCGTATCAGTGAGAGAGATGACCTTGGACTCGGGCAGCTAAATTCTTTAATTTACTTAACTACATTCCTAGAAGGGGGATTGCACTCCAGGCTCTGGCACTGAGAGCCTTCTCTGGGAAGTTCTGGGGGAAGGCTCTTCCCAGCTGACAGAGTAAAACCCTTGGATGTGGCAGTGATGTCTGTCCCCGGCTTCCTTGCCCCAAGCATGCGATGTGGCAGAGCTTTGGCCTGCCCTGCTGGCTTTGCGGCAGACTTAAAATTCTCTCTGGTCCAGGAAGCGCACAAGATGGTGAGAGAAGCAAACACTAAACAGGCGGCGTCGGAGAAGCAGCTGAGGGAGGCACGGGGGAAGGTGAGAACCGCACTCTCTGCTACTCTGTCTCTGTGCTAGGTTCCTGCCATCCCTGCCCAGCCTGGCTGCGGTGCTCTGCGTTGGCTGGAGGAGAGTAAAGCGCCTGCAGCTCGGTCTGTCTGAGATGCTGCGTTTGCTCTGTTCCCTCTCCGGCAGACACCGAGTGAGGGGGGGAAAAGGCATCCCTGCAGTCTGCTGCTGATCCAGGTCCCCTTTGAGAAATGGATGCCAGGGGAACCACAGAGAAGTGGCAGTGCTGTTGGGCTGCCACAGCTGTGGGGATGGATAGAGCAGGGAGCTGGGGAGTTGGGATGTCCTGACAGGGCTGCATCACAAGACTGCTCGACTGGCTCCTTCCTGGGAAGAGAGAAATTTCTTTGGGGTTATTGGGTCTAAAAAGAGTCTGGGGCAAAATGTGCTCAGACTGAGGAGCAGAGGGATGGGTTCCCAAATAGCTGCTGTTTATCCCTGTTTAAAATTCTGGGTGATGGGGTGGGCATTTGGGAGAATGCGGAGAAGGCTTCATGACTGGGCTTGTAGCTGGTTCCCTGTGGCTTTAGTGTTTGGTGGGGTGCGGCAAGCTCAAGCTCAGCAGGTGCTGGAGGTGCTGTTGACCCTTGCCTTGTCTCTGCAGATCGACATGCTGCAGGCAGAGGTAACAGCTCTGAAGACGCTGGTGATCACATCCACACCTTCTTCTCCGAACCGGGAGCTGCACCCTCAACTCCAGAGCCCTTCTAAAGCTGTCTTCAGGAAGGGCCATGGGCGAAACAAGAGCACCAGCAGCGCGATGGTCTCAGCTGCCAGTCAGAATGTGACTCCAGAGCCCGTCAGTCGTGAGTGCAAAGAGGTGGGTGAGGGCCACTCACTGCATCGGCCTTGGAGCCACCGCTGTCACTGTGCTCAGGGAGCCAAGCCGCTTCTGACTCGGGCTTCCTGGAGAGCTCTGTGGTTTCAGTGTTGGGAGAGGCTGTCCATGCAGTCATCTGGCTTGTTCCCTAAATTTGTGCTGAGGCAGGCTCTAGAGGGTTTCCGTTTGTGGAGGTTTCCCCTTCTGGGAAGCATGTTTGAGGCTGCATCAGGACAACTGCTAGAGGAAGCAGCTGAGGGATCCCTGGAGGGCACGGACAGATGCAGGAGCTGCCAGTGCTGAGGGTGGAGATGTCGGGAGCTGCTGGGCAGAAGCCAGTTGTTCTGCTGCATCTTGGCAGTTGAGTCCGCTACCTGCTCTGGTGTGATTTGCTGTTGTTTCTTCCCTCTACCTAGTTCGGTGTGGACATCAGGACACCGCCATCAACTTGTAGTTGCTGTCACTGGTTCTGTGTTCTTGGGCACATCACTGTTCTTCCTCTTCTTGGCAGAGCCTGTATTTAATTAATTATATTTAATTCCTTCCTCACTGGAAGGAGCTGGGTGGAAAAGCAGACAGGGCATTTGTGAATATCTTTCAGACAAGCCCTGTTTAGTTTCCTTCTGTGATCCTTTGGTAGTCCCCCACCTGCTCTGACCATGGGTGTAAGTAACGCTTCTTCCTGCTAGCAGGGTCTTTCAGTCTGGGAACTTTCTGCTAGCCAGATGTGTGCACAGCTGTCCTGGGGAGCAGAAAGGAGGCAGCTTATGGCACTTGGTCAGGAAGAATGAGAATGACAGAATGTGGCAGGAGAATATGTTTCCCTAAGGATTTTGCAGGAGCTGTGGCCTCTGTCGTGAAGAATTGTTGAGGGAACTTGGAGGCTCCGGGTCACTTGGCTTGTGTAAGAACATTTGCTGAAGGGCCGCTCGTGAAATTAATACTCTGGCCAAACAGGACTGTGCTGGCAACACTGGTACCTTCTGCTTTTGGCAGTGGATTCAGTGAAAGTGCTTTGTCAGCTTCTGCGCAGTGCTCCTGTTGCTAGAGTTTGGATGAAATGCTTCAGGCAATGGCTATAGTCATTGTCCTGAGACAGCAATAGCAATGAGATATGAAGATCTTTAACTCTGTTCACAGGCAGAGAGGAACAAAGGCTATGTCAGAAGGAAAATAAAAGGAAAAAAAATCAGTTTGGTAACCGTGAAGGTCTGCCACAGTTGTTTCTCTTGGTCAAGCAGGGAAATGTCCAGGTACGCTGGAAGTTAGAGCCAAATACAGTCAGCTAGAAGCTGCTTTGAGGGCCAAGAAGAAAAAGGTTTTAGTCTTTTTAAGATCCTGAGGTCTCTCACAGTGCTAACCATTCCTCCAGTCAGAACAGAGGAGCTCCAAACCTAGAGCCCAGTCTGGTGAACCTCTGACTGCCCTGTAGAAGTTGCCCTCTGCCTATGGGAAGCAGAGACAACTTTTGCCTACGGGGTAGCTCATTTTGCTGTTCTCGGCTCAGCCTCAGCAAAGCTCGTGTTGACAATCTGTAGAAAAATGCTAGTTCTTGCCAGTGACTTGCTTGTTAAAGATCCGGACCTGTCGTTTGTTCGTGCAGGCAAATGCCACACAATGCAGAAATCCTGGGGTTTAAAATCCCAGGGCTGCAGCTTCCAAAGTGACTAATAATTTTATGTATCAAGGGTGGGGTGGGTTTTTTTTTGTTAACTTGCTAATTTCTGTCTCTCAAATTCCTTAATGGTCTACGTGCGAGGTGATAAAAGGGAACCTGGCATTCGGAGAGTTGATGGAAAAGACGTGCCCCATCTTAAATTGAGCCTAAAAATGACACAATTTCTGTTCCCTTTCTGCACCTCAAGCTGAAGTCAGACGGTGCGACTCGTGGCCCTGTGATGTCTCAAGCAGCGCACTTTGTTGCCTGGGAGGGAGGGCTTGAGCCTTGCTTTGCATCTTCCATTTTGTCTCCTGTTTTTTACCTCCCTTTCTTACCTGTCTCTCTAAACCTCTTTCTTCACTGTCTGTCTCTTCCGCGGCCCTCCAAGTCCGGGCTGCCCGCTCTCCTCTCTCTGCTCCTTTGCATCATCCCCAAGAAGGTTATCCGCATCGCCTACAAACCAGGCTGGCAGGCCACGGGGGCAGATGCTTCCTCATCCCTGCAGCAGGTAACCGTTCGGGGCAGCGCCGGGGAGGGCTGGGACCCGTCTGCCTCGCGTGCTCCCAGCCTTTTGGTTCTAGCTTCCTTCTACGCTAACCTCCATATTTTTGTTTTGTTTTGTTTTGCTTTGGTTTTGTGTTTTTTCTCAATTTGTTTTTCCACCTTGCGGCTCTGAAGCTGTCTCCTACTACCAGGTGAGCAGTCTCCATAGCGTGGAGCGAGTGTGCTAGAGCCCAGGCCTTTCTCAGCAATGTTCACTCGTGTTCTTTGTGTTGCTCAGCAGGGTTTCTTTGAGTTTGTTTTTCCTTTCAGCAGCTCTAACAGGATTTGCCAGCCTTTTAAGGAGGTGCCCTGTCAGTCGGGTTGGTGTTTGGGCTAATGCTGCTATCTGGGGCTTAAATGTCAGGTCCCAGGTAGTCTCCAGGACTTCTTCAGCCAGACAGGGATGGAGGGTACGACTTTCACGCTGGCGCAGGGGATGGGAGCAAGCTCTGCCTTGGGTCCCTTGCTGCTGAGGAGTGATAATGCTTGCAAGCCCACCTATAAAAGGCGATGAGCAGATGTTAGAATGGGGAAAGCTGTTCCTACTCTCGTAGTTCCCTTTGCAAGACCTTCTTTCCTACACTCGGCTTGCCCCTGCAAGCCTGTGTGGCTGCCCGGTGTTCCCATTACTTCTGCAACTCCCCAGACGCCGGAGTTCACAGAATCACAGAATGGTAGGGGTTGGAAGGGACCTGTGTGGGTCATCTAGTCCAGCCCTCCTGCCGAAGCAGGTTCACCTACAGTAGGCTGTAGAGGACCTTGTCCAGGCGGGTCTTGAATACCTCCAGAGAAGGAGACTCCACAACCTCCCTGGGCAGCCTGGGCCAGGGCTCCGTCACCCTCAGAGGGAAGAAGTTCTTCCTCATGTTCAGCTGGAGCTTCCTCTGCTTCAGTTTGTGCCCGGTTGACCTGTTCCTCTCGCTGCACACCACTGAAAAGAGTCTGGCCCCATCCTCTTGACACCTAGCCCTCCGCTGGACTCTCGCCTGTAGCTCCTCTTCTTTCTTGAACTGGGGAGCCCAGAACTGGACAGAGTACTCCAGATGAGGCCTCACTAGGGCAGTGTAGAGGGGAAGGAGAACCTCCCTCGACCTGCTGGCCACACTGCTCCTAATGCACCCCGCTTGGAGCAGTCTTTAAAGGGCTGGCATACCCTGTGAGCTCATACTTGGGCTCGCTGAATGTGGTCCTGCTGGTTGGCTCTTTATTAATAGTTCTTTCGATTTATCCTTTTCTGTAGGAGTCCTTTCCTTACGGAAGGGTTCTGCCTCCTGTGTCTGGGTGCCATTGCCACTGTGCTTTGCCATTCACCCGCTCTCGTCATTCCTG